ATTTCTAACTGATCATCCAGGACAATTTTTGGATGGTCCTAGACGATGTGATCAAAATAGAAAACACTAATCAAACATACATAATTTTTCCCCCAAGTTTGTGTGTGCAAGGTTACTTAGCTCCAGGACCCACAATATTTACAATTGAATCAAGAAATGGTAAAAGAAACTTGATGTACATTACAAACTGACTCAGTCCTAATCTACCCAATCTTGAGCTAGTTCGATTTGCAATTCGATCTTGTGGACCTTAAACGTTATTAGGCAAGGTAGTCATCGAAAAATAAAAATATTTGCTATCATCAAAATTCTATTTCCTGAAATCAGATTCGCAACACTAGGAGTAAGGCATCATTGTTGTGTTGGGTGCATATTGTGGGAGGCTTCTCGAGAGAGAGAAGTGATGTACAAAAGTGTTCTCCTTGTGAAGGAGAAAGGCTCATATGGCTTGTTGAGAGTAGAAATAGTAGATGGTGGAATACCCGAGAAGATGACTCAAAAGGGTATGTGGACATAATCCGGTTGATTGAACTGCTATAAAAATTTATTTGTGCCCTTTTTATTTTATTTACTTCAATCATATTGTTTTTTAGTTTGCTCATTTGATCTTATAAGATAACATGTGATTTTGATTTTTTTAAAATAACCAAAAAAAATTATTATCTTAAAGTAGTTTTTAAAGAATTTTATTGCCCCTAAAATTGTGTGAAAGTAAAATTTTGAGTTTGCAAATTCAGTTATTTGCGCTACAATTTACTTCGACTGTTTTTTGTAAAAAAAACAAGCCAATTCACTCCCTCTTTTTAAGATGCATAGTCACTGGCATCTACCAAGTTCCCAAGCTGAAATTCAAATTATACAACCAAAAAAAAGTTTCATAAGGTTTGCTCGTGATCCAACCCACCGCTAGATACATCAAATTCGTAATTTTTATCCTTTTTATGTTTGATAGAAATTCGTAGGATTTAATGGTCATGTTTATTAACTTAAAAATATAATTTCATTTTATAATAACTTTTATTTGCAATAAAAATATTAAATATAATAAAATAATAAAATATAAATATAATAAAAAATATTGTGAAACCTTACTTGTGGCTCATATAATTTTTAATATAAGGGCAATTGGCATCTTATAAGAGATAAAAAACATAAGAGAAACCCTTTATCATTGTATGAGTACATATTCTAGTAATACGAATTCAACGTAATCTTTTTTGAGCCCTTAGTTATGTAGTAGAGCATTACTTAAACGGGAAAGTTTTCATATGTTGGACGTTGCGAATTAACCAGCCGAATGAGCAAGCGAATGATAACATAGAACTGTTTTTTTTTTTAGTTTGTTTCACTTTTTTTATTTTTTTAAAGATTTTTAATTGAAAACAAGGATTGAAATCAATATATATAAGATAAATTCCAACTTAATGGCTGACTACTTGAAATCTCTTCAAGGAAAACAAGAGGCATATCTCAACTGCTTGAATTCCAATTGTAATATCTATGATGTTTCAACCCATCCTAAGAAGGTGAATCAACAATTGGCTGCTACTTCATCTCAATGGTATTCTTGGATAAATCAAAGAGCTAAAATCAAATGGCTCTCTCATGAGGAGGATGATCTTAAGTTCTTATATTCCAAAATTCATCTTATGAGGAATTATAAGAAAACTGCTATCTCCCTGGCCATGTCTCATGCATCATCTTTTTATTCTGGAGCTATTAAAGATAATATCTCATACTTTCAGGGGCTTTTTAATCCCAATATTTGGCGGGACTTTAACATCAATTTCTTGCCTACTGGTAATATGATTCCTGCTGTTTATTTACATTCCTTAACCATGCCATTCACTGATGCAGAAATTAAAAAGGCTATTTTCTCTGGTGCTTCTAACTCCGAATGGTTTAAAAAGGCTATTTTCTCTGGTGCTTCTAACTCCACTCCGAATGGTTTAAATTTTGAGTTTTACAAATCTACCTGGTTGGTCGTGGGACCTACTGTTTGCAATGCTGTCAAATTCTTTCATAGTAATCATTACATTCCAAGGGCTGCAAAAGCAACTGCCATCACTCTGATTCCAAAATCTAGTCATCTCGAAGCTATTACTAACTTCCGACCTATTTCTCTTTGTAACACATGTTACAAAATTATAACGAAGATTTTGGCTGCTAGATTGAAGCCTATTATGCCCCATATCATTAAAGAGAATCAACCCGGGTTCATTCACAAAAGGATTTCTACGGATAATATTATTTTGGCTAATGACATCCTTTATCATTCTAGAATCTTGTCTAATTCTAATATGTTTTGTGACAAACTTGTCATCAAAAAAGTTTTTGATAGTATTTCTAGATAATTTCTTTTAGTCAGGATGACTCAAAAAGGTTTTCTCAAAGTGTTTATTATATGGATCAAAGCGTGCATTGATGACATTTGGTGTTCTCTTTGCATAGATGGTGCTCTTGAAGGTTTTTTCCCCTCATCTTCGGGACTGAGGCAAGGGTGCCCTCTAAGTCCTTACCTTTTATGCATTGTCATGAATGTTTTTTCCTGTCTTTTGGATCACCCTCCTAATAATTTGCATTTTGAAACCCTTAATGTAGCGGCTACCAGGTTGTCTCACCTCATGCATGCAGATGATCTCATTATTTTTGGTAAAGCTGATATTGGTAACTGTTAGAACATTTCCTACTTGCTCAATCTCTTCTCTGAGGCCTCGGGCCTAGCTGGAAATTTTGTGAAAAGATATAGTATCCTCCCTAAAAATTGTCAGTATGCTGATAATATTTATTCTACTTTTAACATTCCTTCTACTTCCACCTTTATTAAATACCTTGGGATTCCTATTTCACCTTATAAGCCAAAGCTGGCTAACTTCTCTAGTTTGATGGAAGCCATGACTCATAAGCTCTCTGGTTGGAAAGCTAAAACCCTTTCTTTTGTTGGAAGATTACAAATCTTAAGGTTTACTATATGGAACACGATTGCCTATTGGATTCGTTGAGTTATTATACCTAAAATCATTTTTAAGCAAATTGGTAGACTCTGTGCCAAATTTATGTATTTTGGGGACATATCTGGTTGTAAGCTGCATTTAATATCCTGGAGGAACACATGTAAACCTAAAGTATTTGGAGGGCTTGGCATCCCATCCTTATTTTCTGTACAGTATAGCTATAACTTCTCTCTTATTGGGAGATTATATAATGTCAGCAGCTCCATCTCCACTTAGTTTTTCTATAACTATGTCTCTCCTTGGGTCCAAATATTCTGCTTTCTGGAAGAATTTAAATGTGACTGCCCGGCTAGCTAAAGAAAATTATAACTTTAAGCTGTCTTTTAATGCCCCGATTGCTCTCTATTGGGATCACTGGTTTTATGATAAATGTATGTATGAGATTGTGATATGCAGCCTATTTTAAGTCTTTATCCTAACAATGTTAGTATTGCGGCCATCTTAAGTGATTATGGTTGGGTGTTACCTCTGTGTTTGCCTGATATGATCTCTCATAAACTCAATGTTGTTCCTATTTATTTGAATCATCAAAGCTGCTTAAGTTGGGGTAGTGATAATGGTGGTTCCCATAATTCTTACCTTAATTTCTTTTTTAAGGATTTTCCTATGGTTAATTAGAACCATTTTGTTTGGCACAAGCATTATGTTATTAGATTCTCATCTTTTTGTTGGATGGCTTTAAATGGAGGCATGACAACTGTGGATACTCTTCGGTCTAAGGGTATCATTGTGGATAAGTCTTGCTCCTTTTGTAATTCGGCTGCTGAAATTGTGACCCACCGGTTTTATGAATGTGATTACTCTTTCTCTGTAATCTCTATGTTGGTTCTAGCTCTTGGGGATCTTCTCCTTAGACCAAATGTTTTGCAAGCTTTTGAATACCTTGCTGAGAACTCAGCCAAGAATAAGCACTTCTATTATCTGCTGATATGCTGCTCCGTTTACCATATCTGGAGGGAAAGGAATGACAGAAAAATTGGCAATTCATTCTCTTCTTCCACTACCTTATGCCATAAAATTAAATCTGCTATTTTACTCAAAGTATTGAAATGGAAAAATGGAAACTCTTTTCTGGATATGCTGTAGTTTCCTTCTATTGGATCGATCTGTTTTGTTTACCCAGCTGCTTTGGGTTGCCTTAGTCCAGTAGGATGGCTGTCTTTATTTTATCTATTTTAGCCATTATGTTATTGCTGTTGACGGTATTTGTGGGCAAGGCTGATTGGATTGCGCAATTTGTCCCTTCGGATGGCAGAATTTTTGCGAGTTGGTTATTCTGCAACCAGGCTGATGGAATGTAGCAATTCCTGAGCCCGTCGGCGCTCCCCCTCTATTCCTCCTCTGGAGGTTTTTTTGAGCTGTACAGATTCGATGGTGATATTTTTCCCTTTTCATCACTTATTTGTCTTTTGTTTAGACAGCAATTTGTAGCCATCACTGTGCTTTCCAATCACAGAGAACTCTCTTTCTCTTCTCTTTTGTATTACAAATTTGGGCATAAGGAATTAAACCAGGACGTACCTTCCGCGACTTGAGAACTTGCGATCGGCGGTTAGTTCGAATCTCATCATATTTTTTCTCTCTCTCTCTCTCCATGTTGTTAGCGTTCCATCGTGGAAAGTTTTTGAATGCATCGTTTTGATCTGATAGCCTTTGGCCTCTATGACTTTTTTTAGAAGAATCTTTATATTCCGGTTCTTCGGATAATTTGGAGTTCGTAAATCCGAATTTTTCTCCCAAGAAAATAGCATTTTTTCTTATTTTTTTTTTAAAAAAATTAATTGATGTGTTCCGTTGTCTTTGTTGGCACTGATATTTTTTTTTTTATTTTTTTTTTTATTTTTACAAAAGCGCTATTAATCTTTTATTCTTTGTGTTCCCTGCAGGACTTTTTTCTCGTTGAACTCCCTCGGATTCCTCTAATTTGATTTTATCCAGAGATTATAAACATATTCCTACTTGTTAAGCTTACATATCACTTTAAAAAGGGTCAAGTAAACTTTTACTCTGACCTTTTTTTTACTTTGCTCATCATTGCGCATCTATCCGTTTGCCATACTCTGAGAGCTCCAACAATGGCTGAAGCAAAACCTCAAGTGCCATCGTCCAAATCCTCTTCAAGGAGTCTTCCAGACTTCAAACAATCTGTTAAGCTCAAATATGTGAAGCTCGGCTACCACTATCTTATCACCCATGGCATGTACCTCTTTGTCACTCCTTTAGCTGGAATTATGGCCGCCCAACTCTCCAGCTTCTCCCTCGAAAATCTCTATAATCTTTGGGACCACCTCCGCTTCAACCTCATCTCAGTCATTATTTGCTCCACCCTCCTGGTCTTTCTCTCCACCCTCTACTTCCTCAGTCGCCCCAAACCTGTCTACCTCGTCAACTTCGCCTGCTATAAACCTGAGGAAGCCAACAAGTGCACTCGCCAAATGTTTGTTCACATGTCTCAGTCGAAGGGTTCATTCACAAAAGAAAATGTCGATTTCCAGCGTAAGATCATCGAAAGATCTGGACTTGGTGAATCCACTTACCTTCCTGAAGCAATCATGAATGTTCCACCCAATCCTTCGATGGCCATGGCCAGGAAGGAAGCAGAGGTTGTGATGTTCGGTGCCCTCGACGAGCTTTTTGGAAAGACTAATCTAAAACCGAAGGATGTTGGAATTTTGATTGTGAATTGCAGCTTGTTCAATCCAACCCCTTCCCTTTCTGCCATGATTGTGAACCGCTACAAGCTCAGGGGAAACATTTTGAGCTATAATCTTGGTGGCATGGGCTGCAGTGCAGGATTGATCTCAATTGATCTTGCAAAACGACTACTTCAAGTCCATCCTAATTCTTATGCTTTGGTTGTCAGCACGGAGAACATCACTTTGAACTGGTATTACGGCAACAATCGTTCCATGCTTGTGTCGAATTGTCTTTTCCGCATGGGTGGAGCTGCAATCCTTTTATCAAACAAGAGATCTGATCGACGCCGTTCCAAGTATCAGTTGGTTCATACAGTTCGAACACATAAAGGAGCTGATGACAAGTGCTACACATGTGTGACACAGGAAGAAGATGTTGATGGGGAGATTGGAGTCTCTCTTTCGAAGGATCTGATGGCGGTGGCTGGTGATGCTTTGAAAACCAACATCACTACTTTGGGTCCTCTTGTTCTGCCCATGTCGGAGCAGTTGCTTTTCTTTGCTACTTTAGTGGGGAGGAAGCTTCTCAAGATGAAGATTAAGCCATACATTCCAGATTTTAAGCTGGCCTTTGAGCATTTCTGCATTCATGCTGGCGGAAGGGCAGTGTTGGATGAGCTGGAGAAGAATTTGCAGCTTTCAGAGTGGCACATGGAACCTTCAAGGATGACACTCTACAGATTCGGGAACACCTCAAGCAGCTCTCTTTGGTATGAATTGGCTTACAGTGAAGCTAAGGGAAGGATTAAGAAAAGGGATACTATTTGGCAGATTGCATTTGGTTCTGGATTTAAGTGCAACAGTGCAGTATGGAAGGCTTTAAAGACTGTGAATCCTGCAAAGGAGAAGAACCCATGGATGGATGAAATTGATAACTTTCCTGTTACCGTTCCAAAGATAGCAGCACTCGAAACTTGACACTGTTTGAAAGTGGTAGTAAAATTATCTCTGGCAAGCTAGAATTCACTGGTTTGGTTCATCACTTGCATTATTTGTTGGGTTTATTCTTTATCTTTATAATTACTGGGAATAGTCATTTCTCTTCTCTCATGTGATTGTTTATTGGGGAAAATAGGAGAAGAGGTATTTTAACTCTTTAGTGGCAGGTTGGTCTGGCTATTGTTGCGTTAGAAGAAATGTTTTATTATGTTATATGCATAACAGAATCTGTTCTATTATTTTCATTGCATTGTTATAACATGTGAAACTTTGTTCCCATGGAAAAGCTTCATTCATATTATTTATTTCTTCGCACGCCCCTCAAATTGGCTTATCTAATGTTTTTCAGTTGTTACTGATTCTTTTAACATGAAAGGCCTTTCTTTCTGGCATAAAGAAACTTCAATGCCAAGTCCTTTTTTTATTTCTACAGTGCCCAAATGAATGAATGATACATGGCATGTAATATGCATGCATATGCTGGATATCATTCATTAATTACCTTGCAGGGATTTTTGACCATCATTTGGCCAGCAAAGTATTTTCTTTATTATTTAATTCTAAAACTTCAAAGCAAATTGAATTATTTATGATGTTGAATATTGATAAGCTATCAAATGATGATTGCATATGGTGAAAGATAAAGTGTGGTTCATAAAAATGGGTGTTGCATAAGGTCCTGATGGAAGTACCCATGTAGTGTTGGTTAATTGGCTAGTTGTTAATTAGTTATCAGCTTGGTACTATGTAATGGAGGAGGGTAGAGGATTAACCTTTACATTCTCTATAGTGGTTCAAATGTTGAGTTGCAATGGTTTGTTACAAGGAGATTGATTGGAATTATTCAGATTGTGAAATGTGGGAATTACCACATGGATGTTGGCATAGAATGTCTATACAAAAAACATTGCCAAAAGGAAGTTGGGATTTTTTTCTTACTTTGGGTGGAATAATGAGGGCTACATTTAGTTTATTTCTATTGATAGCACTAGATTACATCACATTGATTATAAAAGAAGCTATGAATTCCAAAAATACCAAAAATTACGAATCTTTGAAAAAGATACTACAAAAGTAAAAGCTCCAAAGGCAAATAGTAAAACTAAAACATTAAAGGAACCCAAAGAATATGTAGGTCATGTATGAACAAGTATATGTTACTCTGTCCAAGGCAATTTTGATAATCAAGTATTTGTAATCATTGAGCAAAGCAGTAATGAATTGCCTTGCTATCTTATAGTTCTCCCTTTTGCTCATCCTAAAAGAAAATTTCTCCCAGCAACAATGAAGCAAAGAACTGCAAAGTCACAAAAATAAAATCATTGCAATGGAAATAATATAGCATTCAAATTTTAAATAGATAATTGAGAGAAAAGCAAAGTTTTAGATAGTGATATGCTAAGAATAACCAATATCAATTATTAAACGGTGAAGGCATGGCTTCATCATCTTAGTGGATGGTATATAAAAAAATAGATGTAAAATCATGAACATCAATTATTAAAAATATAAAGAAAAAACTACTACATGACCATTTAAGTAGTGCACCAAAGAAGATATAATAACGGTGTCGACCCCTACATCGAAAATGCCTAAAACAAGGCGAATCTAGAGACTTAAGTGACGATTGGTGGGAGCAACACATTAATTAAGAGGGTAAACAAACTCCAATGGCTTAAGGAATTGCACTGTTGCGATCAGAATATCAAAGTTACCTATGTGAGACCACCTTGCAGACAAATTTGGCAAAATAGTCAGAATTGAGAATCAACTCCCAAAATGGACACATCACATGGACCAAATAGCTTTCGATCGTAGAATGGACTTCGCTATTGCATTTAGAATAATGAAAATAGCCCAAAATTATTGTCATCTTGCCTAACAAAATTTACACAAAAAATTGGCCTAGATCCCAAGGGAACGATGCACATATTTCAAGATAAGTAAGAAAATTGAGATCACCTCTATTTTATTTCTTAATTAGCCTATTGTAATAAAGCTAATGATAATGATAATTTTATTATAATAATAATAATTATTAAAATATTAGATAAAATACAACTCGTGCCTCTATCCTGCGCCGACGCCGACACTACTCGCATTTCTTCGCACAATCTCTTTCCTAGGTCGCAAAGTCCATTTGACATCGTTATTAAAATGAGAATGAAATGAATTTCTTTGTTTCTGCTTTACCACACTCACTAAATGCTTAAACACCTAAATCCTCCTGCAGTTGAACTCCTTTGTTCATGAGAAAGCCCATGATCCTACTCCCTCTATCAGGATCTCGTCCGTCTACAACCTTCTGAACTAGTCAGCTTCCATAATGTTCTTTCTTGTTTGGCTCTCGCACACAATCACCCTAGCATATCGATTGTTCTTTCTCACGATGGGCGTCAACTTTTGATCCCAAAATTGATCCTCATATCTAAGTACAAGCAAGACGAACAAGGCCCCTCACCTCTTTATCCCTGTTAAACCACACGACTCGACTTGCCTAGTCATTGTTTCGAATCACTATAATCAAATCCGCATTTGACTTCCACCTCCCAGCTGCAAATTCCACAAGTTTTCCTTACCTACTCTGAAATCTCCCTCTCGATCCACAATTAATTAATCATCTCTGCAATTCACGTGCATTCCCTATTATTGTGCCCATCTTCCTTCTATACCAAACCCTGTGCTGACCTTCTTCAAGCCATGAATCATCCACTACTTCAATTCTTCTTATGATATGGCATTCAGTGTGATGCTTGCGGTGAGGTGGGTAGGCGCTATATACATCTTTCTTAGCATGGAGCGAACACTTCTAAGTACTTGCGTATGTGCCATTTGGCTTGTAGGGAAAAGTTGTGCATTTCAAACATGTACCTTAAAGAACCATACATGTTTTTATTTATGTGGTGGGATTAAAAACCATGACCTTGATGTCTCTCAACACCTTCCATATACGATTTTTTTAGCGTGATAGGAAGGCCCAACTCCCTAAAATTTCTCCTAAATAGGGGAGACGCATGGAGGTTGCCAAATTTTCTAGAGAACAGAGGATCTAATTTGAACAATAATATAGGGAACTTGACTTGAGCTGAACAACAGGGAATAATACATATTGTTTAAAATTAAATTATAATTTGTAAGGCAACAAATTGTTAATTAGTTACAAATAAACAAGCAAGAACCTAAAGTGGATAAAGAACTACAAATATAACATGCTCGTAAGTAATACTCATATGAAAATGTAATGACAATATTTTTAATCAACAACAAAATGTTATCAATAAGTGTCAAGAGGTTGTCATATCAAAACAAATGCTAACATCAATGAGTAAATAGAAGACTCATTGCTTGCAAAGAACAACCACATGCACATGATTGTGAACCTGAACATTATGCTAGCACAAACACAACTTATTTCTAAGGGAGAGATTTATAATGAACAAACTGATGGGAGGAATTAGCATGGTACATGAGTAAGAAAAAAAAATTGTATGCCTAAAGTCACCCTATCGCCGTCGCCTACTTGCTCAAGATAAAAAAAATTTAAATCCCTCTTTCGTTGCTCGCGGTGCACCAAATAATCATCTATACACCCTTTTCTTAGCGTTGTGGGAGGAAACCTAGTGCAAAGCTTGCAGTGAGGAAAGTAGGCTGTGTCCACACTTTTTTAGTGTTGTAGGGGCACTCTTAAGTACCCGAATATATGCCATCTTGCCTTCGAGTAAATACTATTCATTTCAAGCAGGTACCTCGAAGACCCATACACATTTTTTTTTATGTGGTAGTATTAAAAAACATGGCTATGGTGTCACTTGACACCTACCATACTCATTTTTCTTAGGGTGGTGAGAAGGCCCAAATCCCCATGATTCCCCAAATTAGAGGAGATTCTAGGAGACTTTCAAATTATCCTTAGAACAAAGGACCTGATTTGAACAAAAATAAAATTGACTTAACTTGAGTTGAACAATAGAGAACATAACATAATGCTTAGAATGAAATAATAATTTGTAATGTAACAGATTATCAATTAATTGCAAATGAAGACATGCGAACATATAGTGGATAAAGAAATCTAAATATAATATGCTCACAAACAATAATCAGATGAAAATGTAATGACATGTTTGCAATCAACAACTTAAAATTTTCAATCAGTATCAAGTGGTTATCATATTAACTTAAATGCAAACATCAACGAGTACATAAAAGACTCATTGCTTGCAAAGAAAATGACCCGCACATGATTGTGAATGTGATCATAATGCTTGCACAAACACAACAAATTATTTATGAGGGAGACATTTGTAATGAACACACACATATAGGAAGAAAGATGAGTGCAATGCATGTCATGATGTATTCATAAATAGAACGTGGAAGATACATAACGAACATAACATCGTATAGTCAATATTAATATACAATTAAGTACATTAAATATTTCTATCAATACTAGTCAACATGCAAGTGAACACACCAATCCATCTACAAACATAAAAAAGTTGTAAATGTGATGAATTCCCTTCAAATATGAGTAGGAAATATGGAAAAATACAATAACCTCCATACAATCAATCTTAACATGAAAACAGGTACACAATACTCTTGTAAGCGACGATGATCAACATTTGTTGAATGTGAAAGACTCCTTGTAAACACTGATAAAAAGATAAGTACAACGAACACAATTCATCGATAACCAATATTGACATGCATTTGAATTGCAAGCATTAGCATGGTACACGAGTAAATCCATCATTGCAATATCTGGTGAATGCAGTTCACCCTGTAGTTGATATTAATGTATAAACAAATATGTTAGCATGCCCGCAAGAAGTAATAAAAAATATATTGCAAGGATGATAGGGCCTCTATGAACACACATGCACATGCAATATATCATCTACAAGAAAAGAAAACATATTACAATACATACACACACCTATGAGCTATTGTGAGATACCCATCTTGCACAAAACATGCTATACAAAAGCAAAATATAAAAGAATGATAGTAAATGCAAGCACCTTCGAGTAGCACCAGAAGATTTGTATTAAGTGCAAGTTATCTGTAGATGACAATGGCAAGTTTGCAATACATACAATAGTCCTCCCTATAAATAATGATAGTGCATGCATTGCAAGTATGGTGGACTCTTTACAGTCTTGAGTGAGAAGATTGTAGCGAGTGCGACAAACTACTTGTAGAAAAAAGTGACAAGCTAGTGATAATACTAGAATATATGAGAGATGAGGTTCATTAATGCATGATAGCCTATATGCATAAAGTAGAAAATGACCC